GGTTTTTCCTGTAGTGATGTACAGAAGTGAGAGCTGGACCATAAAGAAAGCTGACCGCCGAATAATTGATGCTTTTGAATTGGGGTGCTGGAGGAGACTCTTGAGAGTCCCCTGGACTGCAAGGAGAACAAACCTATCTATTCTAAAGGAAATCAAGCCTGAGTGCTCACTGGAAGGACAGATCCTGAAGCTGAGGCTCCAATATGTTGAGAAGAGAAGACTCCCTGGAAAAGACCGTGATGTTGGAAAAGTGTGAAGGCAAGAGGAGAAGAGGACAACAGAGGACGAGATGGCTGGACAGTGTCATTAAAGCGACCGACATGAATTTGACCCAACTCCAGGAGGCAGTGGAAGACAGGAGGGCCTGGCATGTTCTGATCCATGGGGTCATGAAGAGTCGACACGACTAAACGACTAAACAACAACAACAAGGGAATATTTGCCTTGCTCATTCCAGGTGAAATGAAGCCACTCTGAATCCTGGGCCAACTACTGGTGCCATGGTTGAGGGAGCCTCTGTGTACAGTTCCCGGCAGATATTTGGCCCTTATTTGTGTACAGCATTTAACTTGTTCTACCATGTAAATATTAGATTAAACCTCCTCTTTGTAGCTTGAGTGAAACAAACGCTCAGCATTCATACATCTTGAGTAATTCAAGAGGCCTTCCAAAAAACATGATTTTTCTTTGGGAGAAGTGAAAAAGCATGCCAAAACCAATCCCTTTGCCATATGAAGCAGGATGACTTTGTTCTTTCTTCCCAAAGAAGCCAATTAAAAGGATATAACCTTTAATGGCATAACCAGAATGTAAGTTTAATATCATACAATGCAGGAATTCATTTTTGCTGTTCTTGAACAGATTCCATCAGTTTCAGCAAGGAGAATTAATCCTTTAAAGGTGCTTGGAGCATTGTGGGGAGATGCTAAAAGGCTGATGGGGCCATTTGGGCTATATTTAGAAGGGATTTGGCAAGGTTTTTTTGGGGGGGAGGGGGCTTAGTCCTGATTCACCGTGGTTACATCCCACTGGGATGTAAGGTGGCTTCAGATGCAACCTGAGTACAGTTTGGAAAAGCTTTGGGTCTGAACAATGATAGAAAGGTTCTGTAGCAAATATGGGTCTCTCATGTGTTGCATATATTTGTAGACAGTTGTATTATCACTGCTTTAATAGTCATCTTTTGTATTGTTGCTTCATATTATCTCACTGATGGCTCTTCTAATTGTATTATGAGAGCATGTTATATTTTCCTAGAAACAATAATCAGCTCTCGAAGGCTTTCACGGCTGGGATCCGATGGTTGTTGTAGGTTTTCCAGGCTGTTTGGCCATGTTCTTAAGGTTCCCCCCCCCCTCACGTTTCGCTAGTCTCTGTGGCTGGCATCTTCAGAGGACAGGAGTCAGAACTCTTGTCTGTGCTCTAGTGCAGTTTATTGGATAATTCATCCCACAGCTATAAACACTCAACTATCCAACAAACTGCACCAGAGCACAAACAGAGTTCTGATTCCTGTCTTCTGAAGATGCCAGCCACAGAGACGGGCGAAACGTTAGGAAGAAAAACCTTAAGAACACGGCCAAACAGCCGGAAAACCCACAACAACCAAATTATCAGCTCCTTGGTGATTTTTTTCCTTTTTATGTGTGTCTCCCATCTCCTCCTCAATCATCCATTCTTTCTCTTTCATTTTGGTTCTTGATCCTGGGAGACCCAGCAAATTCCTGTCCTTGTTAATTGTGTCCTGGGTAAGGCAGCCTGAGAGTTTGTTCAGATTCCACCTGGCACCGACAGGCCTGGTGTACATCTCCTGAATTATGCAGATTGGAACTAGGTCTTGAGCATTCTAGGAGGAAAGCTGACACCAGAATATAGTTAATATATTAAATAAATAAGCAATGGCTGAACACCTGTTGCTTAGCATAGTAAGTGGCACTAGAGTAGGCCCATTGTATCAGTGGGTATTTGGTGAGTCAACTCCTAAGTTGATTCAAATGAAGCTACTCTAGCTGCAGATACTATGCTAAAATAAGTCATGACTCAAGTAGGCCAATTTGAATCATAGCCATCATTAATTGGGTTTTGTTCCTTTCCTTTCTGCCTTGCAGTGACACTGCTGTGCAACCCTTTCACATTTAACATCTAACAGAACTGAAGAGTAGTGTCTGATGTTGGCTTACTGGGTGTCAGCACTATCCTACCTGATTCTCTGTTGGGAGGAAGATATGGTCCTTACTACCCCTATCTAGTAAGGGATGTGGTGGTGTTGCGGGTTAAACTGCTGAAGCCTCTGCGCTGCAAGATCAGAAGACCAGCCGTCGTAAGATTGAATCCGCACGACGGAGTGAGCTCCCGTCGCTTGTCCCAGCTCCCGCCAACCTAGCAGTTCAAAAGCATGCAAAATGCAAAAATTCAAGTAAATAGGTACCACCTCGGTGGGAAAGTAAACGGCGTTCCGTGTCTAGTCACGCTGGCCACATGACCACGGAGGATTGTCTGCAGACAAAACACTAGCTCTGTGGGTTGTAAACGGAGATGAGCACTGCCGCCTAGAGTCGGACACGACTGGACAAATTGTCAAGGGGAACCTAAACTCCTATCTAGCCATCAGGTGGTGGGTAGTACCCCACTTGGCAATGAAACAGCCTTCACTGACTTCTAGATATGCGCACCGTGACTATGTTTTAAAAACTCTAGGCTGAGGACTGAGTTCCCATCACCTTAGAAGTCAGGATTAGCGTTAGAACTTTAAGCTACTTGTTTGGATTAAAACTTCCAAAATCCCCTATCCAGCATGGCCACTGATCATGGATTCTGGGAGCTGTAGTCCAGAAAAAATGACTTTCTGGATTCTGAGAAGGGCATGTCCCTCAGGCAGGGGTAAGATCCCATTCTACTACCTTTTCCAGGTAATGCAGCATCATTGAGCTCAGCAGAAAGCAGCATGTTCGCCATGTCTCGGTTTTGTCAACTTAGCATCTTCACAAAAATAACCTAGTTAGAAATAGTGCCCACGTCTGCCTATTCTGGTTATTAGGTGCAAAAAAAAAATGACTGTTGGAAAATTGTAATTAATCAACGTCTTCCTTTCATAACCTCCAGCGCCTTTACAGCTTTACAACATTAGTAGGTCTCATTTGTTTATGGTGTCTCCTCTATAAATGCTGGCTTGTTTTATGTGACCTTTACACAAATCTTGTGCTGTTGCAAATTCGAAGATGCAACTGTGTTTGGGCTATTTTACTGGTGGTCTCACGTTTGCTCCAGCCAGTGCTGCAGCTCTTTCAGCTTTCTTGAGGCCGCATATAAAAGGCAGTGGGTGGGTTGCATGTTTATGCTTGAATGGCCAAGGCAGTAGAAGGAATGACTCAAACCTTCCCTGCCGCAGCTTGGACCCAAGAGACATTGAATCAAAGCAACTAGCTGTGATCTCAGTGGCTTGTAGTGGAATTGGGAAAGCTGGTTCTCATTTGCAATGCCGTTGCGAGTCTTGAGGCAGGTAGTTGCCCAGTCATGACAAGAAAGTCCCTTACCCAGAGCTTGGAAAAAATAATTTTTGGACTACAAGTTCCTGAGTAGAGTGGTGCCTCGCTTAACAACGTTAATTCGTTCCAGCGAAATCGCTGTAGAGTGAAAACGTCGTAAAGCGAAATAAAAAAGCCCATTGAAATGCATTGAAAACCGTTCAATGCGTTCCAGTGGGCTGAAAACTCACCGTCCAGCGAAGATCCTCCATTTTTGGGTGCCTGTAAAGCGAAAAATGGCTCCTAAACACTCCCTATTTTGCACTTTTGAAAACTTTCATCACTAATTATTTCAAGCCTTTTCTGTTTTCTGCCAGCATTAGCGTGCGTGGCAGCCTATTTATGATTCTTTCACTGTATCTGAATATAATCCATCTTTCCATAAGCTGGACAGGAAAAGAGGTAGAGTACACATTTGTCAACTGGAAGCCATTCTGTTTCTCCATATTGTGCCCTAACAGTAACTTCTTGCCAAGAGTACAGCTTGTGCATCGGGACAATCAGATGTTGTAGCTCACCCAGTCCTTTTAAAACACTTAATCGCTTTTTGTGAGCCAGCCATGCTCAGCCTTAGGGCTATGGCCATAAGCACGATAGGAGAGGAATATAGGCTGAATCAGGATTATATAAGTCACATAATGGAACTTACAAGGGGAGGGAATCAGGATTATATAAGTCACATAATGAAACTTGTAAGGGGAGGTGATCTGGAAGTTGAGTCATGGCAACTGGACTTCTTTCTTGTTAGGTTGAAATGTTTCGCTGCTTATCCAAGCAGCTTCTTGGACTCAACTTCCAGATACTTTTAAGGTGGTGTGTGAAGAATTGTTTCCTGTCTGTGGCCCCCTTCAAATGCTTCAGGGCGCCCTAGGGGGGCCATATGCCACCCTGTTGAGAATGGTATTTCGATTGCTTTTGCTGTACTCAATCAATCACAAAACTGATTTTCTTCTGAACTTCTCTAATGTGCTCCAGTAGCCAACATACGTTTGCAAAGTTTGGTTTGCTTGGCTTCCAGGCTTAGCTTCTATGGAAAAGTATTCAGCGGTGGGAACTAGAGAAGCTGAACTTTCAGCCGTTCCCGTCCTGTAGGATGAAATGCTTGTTTCTGCACTCAAACAACGTCTCTCTTTGTTCTAGGTATCTAAACCACGTTCGAGCTGCCTGCCCGCAAGATCTGGCTGGTGGCTACACTTCCTCTCTTGCCTGTCACCGAGCTCTTCAAGATGCCTTCAGCGGGCTGTTTTGGCATCCTAGCTAGCTTGGGCGTCGCCTACATGGGAGGAAGGCGAGCAGAGCAAAACTCACCTGGAAATGGCAAAGCTGCCTGTTCCTTTTTTGTTCTTTTTTTCTTTTTACAAAATGGTGGAGCCAGCTGTGCTCAGGTATTAAAAACTGTGCAGAAACAATCTCTAAAAATGAAGGTTGTGTGTGCATCCTTTTTTCTCCCCCCCTCTTTTTTTGGCAGAGGTTGGGAGTGGGAAATGCTTTAAGACACTTTGTTGAGAGGCTAATGGAAGATGTGAATAATTATTTTGTTTGGTGTGTTTTGAGGTCTCAGAAACAGACTTGTAAAAGTTTTAAAATAAAGCCAGACTTTATTATTATTATTATTAAATTCTGTGGTTTCTATCTCCACTTTAGGCTTTTTATTTTCATAAGCACTGAAATGATATTTTGATTAAATTTTTACGGTGTCACTCTGCAATAAGCACACTAGCTTTTCTTCCCATAAAACCAGCTTTTCCTTATGCAAACAAATGGGTTTTCCTTCCTTGAAGCACGAGATGAGAAAGGGCGGCATGTACCCGTCTCCGCTAATTCATCCCACCTTGTGTCTTGAATGATGAAAGTGAAGACCCGGCTAGAAAATGTGCTCGTGGTGCGAACAAAGTGTGGGCCTTCCAGCTGCTTCCAGCATTTCTCACCACTGGTTTTTGCTCACACCTTCTATCTGCCTGTCATTTCAGTGCATCTGTTACACGCTGGGGCAAGAAGCAGGAACTTTAAGTTAGGTCCTGTGTGACACTAAGAATAGCTGACATGGAACTTACTTCAAATATCTGTGGTTACACACTTTTATTTCTGTGTGGTAGGTTTGTATCTTGACCTGGAACCAATTGTATTGGCTCTTGCCTTTCTATTGGACTACTTCAGCGACATGGAGAGGGGGAATTTGCTGCGTGGGTAACAACCTATCCTCCATATTATTTTACCCAGGCTTCGTGCTCTGGAGAGGACACTCCAGCTTTGCATACAGCATCGAAACAACATGGAAAGGGATTGCCACTATCAAATCGGCCTTCTCAGCCATACTAGATGATGTTCAAAGTCCTCCATACATAGTCTCTCGAGACTGAAGGATGCCTAGCATAATTGCTTAAGGGTAGGGGGTGGGCAAAGTGCTGCCCTCCAGATGTTGTCAGAATGCCAGCAGAAGTTTTGAGACAGTGACGGTGACCTTAGTGGGAGACCTAGAAGGCCCATTATAGATGCACTTGGACACCCCTTGGTTAACAGTTTGAAGCCAGCAAATCCTTCGCTTCCAGAAGCATTGCACTGGAACATCACCGAACCCACCCACTTCATGGATGCCGATCCCGTAGATCACTGGTTCTTAACCTTGGGTTACTCAGGAGTTTTGGACTGCAACTCCCAGAAGCCTTCACCACTTGCTGTGCTGACTGGGGTTTCTGGGAGTTGCAGTTTAAAAGCATCTGAGTAACAAAGGTTAAGAACCACTGCCGTAGATGATGGCTGCAAGTCAAGGGAATTTTTTTGCACACATCTGGCACTCTGACCACTTCTGGTCAAAAACAGTCTAACTATCTTGACATTTTCATTGGTTTCTGATTTTGCCTATATTTCACGTGCACCCCTGGTTTTGAATTGTGCAACACTCTGATATGAATAAAAGACTGACTGACCTTGGTCACTGCTGCATTTCAAACAGAGAAAGCAAAGTATGCTGATAACCTTCGATGCTTTTGGACTCAAAGCCTTCCGAGTCCCAGCCAACATGGCCAAAGTCAGTCCAACATCTGGGAGGGACACAGCGTCATCACCCTGATTTAGCATCAGTGCTGTTTCTTTAATCTATAAATAAATTGTTTACAAAGCAATTCTTTTTTAAAAAGCGGCCAAAATAAAAGTGAATATGCTGCTGGACAGGAGAGCAGTATCTACCCACTAAAAACACAACTAATCTCTAACATAAGCCCAAAGGAGGGAGCAGGGAGAAGACTGAAGCAGAAGAATGAGTAGTTGCGCAGAAGCTGACAACCTCATGAGTCCTCTCTCAAAGCATGATTTCCTCCTTTTTACCTATTTGTCTGTTACTGTGGTAGAGGCAGGGCTGGTATTCCTGCATTTGATGGGATAAAGTTGATTTCTGCCATGAGAAGACTAAAACGAGACTGGTGGTTGGAAGTCCGCTAGAATACAGCTTTGCAGGCATTTTTGAAACAATTGACTAGCAATGTAAAAAAAAAATTACACCAAGAAGGGCAACGTAATTTATTTTAAACTGTGCAATTCTTAAATAAGAGGATAAACCTCTGCAATGTAGTCTTGATCCATGGGACTGGAGCTCTGCGTAGCTGGAGCTCTGCAGTGGAACAATAATTCCTTTTTGAAGAATCTGAAGCTATCAGATCACAAGAAGTTTATCATGTTTCTCTGGTTTTGCCATTTTCATGTTGCATAGATGCTCTGCTAGCCTTAGTCACAAGGCGGTATGAAGTCGCTGCAGTTTAGGCATAGGTGCAGAAAGAAATGGCAGGGCTACATCTCGAGTTGCATTGCTGCCTTTCAGGGGGGAGGCAGATCCCCTCGCCACCCTTTCCCCTGCTGTGATCCAGCAAGAGCACGGTTGGACACATTGTGCATCTTTTTCTGATCCCTGTTTTTCTGTGTGTTTTTTTTACATTTTGTGCACATAGGGCAATGATGGCAAACCTTTTTGAGCCCGAGTTCCCAAACTGCAATAAAACACCCAACCCAGCGGGTGGCGGCAGTGAAAGTAAGAGTAGTGGCGGCAGAAGTGGGAGTCCCGGACATGGAGGTGCCCCCAGACCCCACTCCGGATCCACCTCCAGTCGTGCCCAACCCCGCCAGTGCCTATAGCTCAGCCGGCCCGCCACCACCAGCGCCAACAGCCCCAGATCCTGGCCCACCACGTGTCGGGATGCTGGCACCGCAGCTGCAGCCAAATGCTCAGGTTTTGGCTGCTGGGGTAGCAATCCAGCTACTTATGGCTCATGCGTCCACAGAGAGGGCTCTGCATGCCAGCTGCCGCATGCATGCCATAGGTTGGCCATCGCTGGCCTATGGTAATATGGCTTCATATTTATATAACTCTTTACTAGAGTCCAGAAAGTTGCTTTTTCGGGTTTTGACTGCTAGTGTGTCTGTCCTGGCATGATGACTTGTCTACTGAACATTCATTATATCAGCAAATAAAGAGATTTTTTTCTAAACCAGAATGGAGGTCAATATAATTTTCCACTTGGTTGACTGGATGAGACTACAAGAAGGCAGAGATGGGCAAAACGCAGCCCATGGGGTGCATACTGTTCCCATATAATTTTCCACTTGGTTGACTGGATGAAACAAAACTGGATGAGCAAAACGCAGCCCATGGGGTACATACTGTTCCTCAAGAGCCTAAAAAACAACCCCAAACCTTTTCTTCTGAAAAAATATGTCATTTTATGTACCTGGAAACTAGCAACAGCAAAGGTTTGGGTATAAAATGGGATTTAGACCTCTAAACTTCAAAAATAGCCCTAGTTTTTTTTTAAAGGCAAAAGAATTGAGTCACGTGTGTTTGTATTTTCAGGGACTACTGTGACCCTTAGTGGAAAAATATTGACACCAAGACCCTCCCAAGTTGGCCAACTTTAAATCTAAGGCAGATATAATTAACATGTAACCTGGGGGCTGCGTGCAACTCTCCACCACCACCCCCCGGGGCCCAAACGTGCTTCTTCAGCACTTCTGATATTTTTTTTTAAAGGGGAGTTCTTGAAAACCTCTTCAACCAGGATGTGACGGGGTGTGGCATGTTTGCTATGGTTTGAGAGGCTCAGAGCAATCTAAAAAATTAAAAATATTTTGGCCATTTGAAGGTGCGAGGGGAATTTTTCTGTTAAAAAAAATACCACCACCACATAAGAAAAAAAGGGGGGGAGTGGTCATAGGTGTGGTTCTCCAGTGTTCGAGATTGGCCCCTTGCAGCCCCTAGATGTCTGGAGACGGCCCACCTTGGTCACACTGCAAAGGAGGTGGTTGAACAGTGACTTCCTTATTCACAGCTGTCTTTTACTGTACTATAGTAATGTTCACACTGGTGGTTTTAAAAGAGAGGTCACTCATGAGTCAATTTACTGTTCAAAAGTGCATTCCCTGCTTCACATAATCGACACCTGCAGTTGCTGAGCAGTAAACTACCTGTCAGAGCCTCTTAAGATTGTCTCCCGGGACCACCCATTCTTCCCAGGCTTCATGGTTGCAAGGGGCCACCCAAAAGGAGGCCTGGAAAATGACCATTGGGAACCGGGCGTTCCCAATGGTGGCTGCGACACTTTGGAACGTGTTGCCTGCACATATATATTAGGCTCCCTCCCTCTTGACCGTCAGGAAATGTATTAAAGCCGAACTTTTCATGGAGGCTTTTAAGAACACTGTCTCCCTGTGACAGATGTGTTGATCCATTACATCTGAACTTAAATTTTCTTTTGCTGTTGCCGCTAGGGATTTTCTGCTAGTATTGTTTGTTTGTTTGGAGTATGCTGTGTGTGGTTTAATCTGCTGTAAACTGCCCAGAGTAGTGGCTTGCCACTAGATGGGCTGCATACTGTATAAACATAATAAAAAAAATGAACTACTTGCCAAGGAAATTTGCCTGAAGATGTTGCCTTACTTGATGTATTTCATAACTAGACCCACAGTGGATCACATCAAACAAATACCTTTCAATAGCTGCCATAAATTTCAGAGGACCACAGGGAGTGTATGAGGACTTCAGGTGTGAGAGGAAATAGGTTCACAGTCCTGCTTTTGCAGTTTATATGCTGGCACTCTTCTGCACGGATCAAAAGTGCAAGAAAGGAACCTAGGATCGTTGCTCATATCAGAAGATTCCCACACAATCTGTGGGCCAGGAGAGAGACGTTCTGGCTGGACCACTTCCTAATGGTGGGAGTTCAGAATATATTCATTTCCCCCTTTTCTTTATAAATACGTACTAAGTGAATTTTACCACAATTTTTAAAAGCCTCCTTTTCCTCTAGCTCGTAGAATACAGCTGTCACTGTTGCATTACAAACATATTTTAATTCACGTGAATATTTATTACTATTATTATTTATTACTTATTTAATTTATATCCCGCCTATCTGAATCACATAGGACCACTCTGCTAGATTTATCTGCTAGACAGCAGTCTTTACACTGGTATCTCATTTTGTTGCTAAATCCACATGGACGATTTGCAGTAGAGGCTGTCATGCCCTACAGGAAAATATGTTTTCTATCAATAAGAGTAAATTTTCTACCTAGAGCAAAGGAATAGGCAATTCCTCTCTAGAAAGAAACATATAGGAAACAATGAGTCACAAAACATAAGAGAATTGTGTCATTAATCCACTTTAGATCTATTTTGTCTCTGAAACCCAGAACAAGCTATAGAAGTTCACTAGAAGAGAGACAGCTGTTCTTTTATATAAGAAACATATTTCTGTAAGCCAGTTATTCAAAGAACTTGTATTACTGCTGGAAGTGTTCAAAGATTGTCAGACTACAAGTCCCACAATCCTTCATCATTACTTATGCTAGTGAGTGGCACCCCAACAACATCTGAAAGGCCCAGCTGCCCAACCGTGCACTCAAGAATTGGAAAAGGGAAGGCTATGAATTGAGACAGATTCTTAGAATCACACAGTAATGAAGTTGGAAGGGGCATATATTACCATCACGTCAACCTCTGGCTTATTTAGGAATCCAAATCAAAGATCTGGCAGATGGTTATCCAATTTTCTCTTGAATGCCTCCGGTGTTGGAGCACTCATCACCTTTTGAGGTACAGTAACTGGTTCCATGGTTGTGCTGCTCTAGGTAGATCCTAGGTAGATCTCAGAAGGAAGTGAAAGGCAAAAACTGCCACTGGCACACATCTTACATTACACCACATCCCAAGTCCTTCCAGTATCTGATACAGGGCCTTGTTTCCAATGGCATCTTGTGCTATGTCGGTAGTGGTAACTGGTTCCATGGTTGTGCTGCTCTAGGTAGATCCTAGTAAACAGTAGCTCAGAAGGAAGTGAAAGGCAAAATCTGCCACTGGCACACATCTTATATTACACCACATCCCAAGTCCTTCCAGTATCTGATACAGGGCCTTGTTTCCAGTGGCATCTTGTGCTATGTCTGTAGTGGTCCTGCCACTATACGCTGGCGAGCCAGGGTGGCAGCAGGCCAGGACTGGGGAGATCCTGCACAGTCACGAAAGCAAGAAGGTGGTTGTGTGGATTAATTAAGAGGCAGGGGAACATACAGGTTTGATCCCTTTAAATAAGAGCAAAATGGTAAGTAAACGAAGTAAAAAGCGTTAAGTAAATATGGGATGGATGTTTGTGTCAGTAAACAACGTCAGTTTGTTCAAAGCAGTGAAATACTGCATGTGAAGTAACTTTCTGAATTCATTTCCCTAATCAGTTAAGTGTCAGGAATTGAAGTGGATGTTGTGTTTGAACAGATAAATCTGAACTGTGCAGGTGTGATCTGAACTTTCTGAACAGAACTTTGTGCAGCAACATCGGCACACACTAGCGGATCCGATCCCAATGAAAGCGATAAACAGTTGCGTATACACCCAGACCTGGTGGTCAAGTGGTCTGAAGTATTAGGTGTTAATACTTGGCCATTATAAATTACTTCAGTTATCTGCCTACAGAGCTACAATTACTCTAATTTTAGCTGGCTCCTGGGAACTTCTGTGGGCATCTATTTATTTATTTAAATATTATTACCCAGCCTTTCTTCTCAAAGCCTACAGAGCTACAATTACTCTAATTTTACCTGGCTCCTGGGAATTTCTGTGGGCATCTATTTATTTATTTAAAATATTATTACCCAGCCTTTCTTCTCGAAAGGACTCAGGTAAAGGTAAAAGTTCCCCGTCTCCAAGCCGTACAGCCAGCGTTTGTCCGTAGACAGTTTCCGTGGTCACGTGGCCAGCGTGACGAGACACAGAATGCCGTTACCTTCCCACCGAGGTAGTACCTATTTATCTACTTGCATTTTTACATGCTTTCGAACTGCTAAGTTAGCAGGAGCTGGGACGAGCGACAGAAGCTCACTCTGTTGCATGGATTTGATCTTATGATGGCTGGTCTTCTGACCCTGCAACACAGAGGCTTCTGCAGTTTAACCCACAGCGCCACCACATCCCTTGCCAAAAGGACTCAAGATGACTACAAAAGACTGGCAGGAGGAGACTGTAGGGATAATCAAAGGCAGATGACCTTCTGCTGTGCTAGTCAAGTCATATATTCAGTAGTGCAGTAAGTGAGTATGTCCCAAAACATGTACTTCCCCACCTTGTGACAAAGCGTTTGGCCCTTTGTGGAAAGAAAATGGAACAGTCACCTTCTTGTTACAGATATACCATGAAAGAGTCTCCAAGCCTCCTTTTACTTCTTTAAAGAGTGTTTGTGGACAACAACGCATTTCATCAGCTCCCTCAGTTTCCTTAGTGTCACCGCAGTTTCTCCCTGGACAATGAACGAATGCACACGAATATAACTGAAGACACTACTAGTGATGAGTGAACAAGTCTTTTTAATACATATATTTTAAAAAATGGTTCTGTCTGCCATGGAATAAAAAGAATAAAAAGGTCAATGCACAATCCGCATACAGGCACAGCAGGCTATAATGGCAGCATTCACGGGTGGACCGTTGTACTGCCTGCTGCCTAGCTGCCCTTACAAGGGAGCAAATCCACTCTGTCTGGACCCTCTTGAAAAGATGGCGCTAAAGTTCTTTTCAGTCACCAGCTCAATAATGGAACCACCGAGACTCTCAGGCCTTCTGATTCGTTTCCTCTTGGGAGTCTTCATTTAAGCGCATGCGTTTAGATGTCGGCTCCTGTGGACTGTTTACACCTACAAGATGAAGACATAGGATCATCTGAATCTATCCAGATTTGAATGGCATGTATATGCCTCTGACAGAGTTCAAGAACAGTGACTAAAGATCCTCAGTTTCCAGGCACACAGTAGCCACTAAGGAGCACACATTTCATTAACCATCCAAGAGGCTGCATCTGAAGGATTCTGAAGTTTTTCTAGGGAGAAATGTAAAAAAAATGCACATAGAATGTGTGATGCAGACACCTCCACCACTGTGTCTGCATGTACTCAGAGGCTGGGGCTGCAGCTTCCACTGACATACACAGCTTATACATAGGTTATGACCTATAAAGTATTTAATAATGTACAACCTCAACACTTATTGGAACATCTCTCCCACAAATAAGCTACCCATTTCATCTGCTCCTCTCAATCCATGGTACTAAAAGTATCCACACCATGGGAGGCCAGAAAGGTGAAGATAAGGAACCACGTTTTCTCATGATGGCCCCTTGTCCCCTACCAGCAGACATACAAAAGAGGGCTCATTCCCTCCTTATGTTCAGGAAACTGCAGAAAACAAGAGTTATTCAAAGCTGCCTTCAACAACTGAGTCTCTCAGATGCTGGTAATATTAATATTCCATCTTTCCTTTTCTTTACTCTTTTGTGTGATTTTTTTAAAAACTGCCATATTGTTGTAGGTATTGTTATGTGTGGTCTGTGGGATTTTTAAAATTAAACTTGCAAACCGGCTAAAGCAGTGCATGTGCTAATGGAGCGGTGTATAAATCAAATAAAGAAATAAGCTACCGAACCAACGCAGGCATGATCATGATGACATAAAATTTTGGCTTTGTGGCTTTCAACATTCCCAGAAGGGAAGCCAGTGGTTGAAATGACCCACAAGAGTCTCCTCTGCTATAAGCCCATATACAGTTTTAAAACCTTCATCGACTAGACGTCTAAGGCAAAGGATTTTGCCTCAATGCAAAAATCATCTCCCAGTAATCCTGCCCTTCCTCCCACCCCCACGAACTTACCTGCTGGACAAGACAACGGCTTGTACAAGACACTGGCTGGGAGGCGGAAGCTGAAACGCATCATTTCCTTATGGGGAGCCACATTCCTCACCAGCATCACAGAACAAAGCCCCTTGAGGGATGTCCCCAAGCAAGCTTCAACTCTTTCCCGTGTATCTTTCGCAGGGTCATCATGCTTAGAAAAGCAGTAGCAATGCACTGTAGGGAGGAGGTCTGTGCGGGCTGGTTCTCCGTCTAAGAGATGCCTGAAGACATCCAGGAACTCAATCGCCATGGCCGGCAAATTCATGACAATATGCAAGGCACTCTCCCGCTCTTTCAAAGAGAGTTGCCGGACCAGCTCTTCCTTCACTGGCCCTTTCAGGAAATCTCTGCCATCCATGTTGAAGACCTGAACCTTTTCGTCCACTTTGTTTAATTTGCAATTGTGCCGCAGCCACTTGTAGGACTCAGGGTTGAGATCATTGGCGAACACAATGCATTTCTTCTTCGCTGCAGGGATGGCAAAGGGCCCCACCCCGGCAAAGACGTCAAAGAGAACATCGTTCTGCTTTAAGAGGCCGACGATCCGTGTGTGTTCCGTTTCAAGGCGGGGATTCCAGTAGACTTTTGAAAAATCAAATTCATACCAGAGGTAATTTTCTTTAACCTGCAAGAGTCCAAAACAAGGGTTGATCTCGGAGAATCAAAGCTCCTATTTACATGGTGCATTTCATCTGCAGCATACAAGTAATTACTCTTTTGCCTCCAAACCCAGCATCTGCGACCAGCAAATGACTACGTTCTCAAAATGGTGTATTTTGCAGGAAAAGCCTACGATGTATGTGAGCACTGTTCAGAAATAGTGCTGTCTATGAACCTTTTCTCCTCTTGTATCAGAGCCCCCAAATGCAAGCATATCAAACCCTATCCATATGGCCTGTATCTTGCTGAAGAAATCCAGATTTGCTTACCTCCTTAATTCAAACCAAATGCCCAAATGCAGAACAAGAAAGATATTTCATTTCTGGAGGAGCAGAAGATGGGTGTCTTGTTTCTAAACTAGCTTTAGGTCTGGGCATCTGGACCTGAGCCTTATTCACCCAGTTTTACCAGAGTGCTTCTCGTATGGAAAACAGAGTTCTTTCAGTGAATATTTACAGAAAAAAAGCAATTTTTATTATCTTTCCCTGGTGTGACAATCTCAGAAGTTTGTAGCTGACCTCCATCATGAATGTACAGATCAAAAATGCTATATGAGAACAACCTGAATTTGCACTATTGAACGTTACGGGTGTTTCTGTCTATAAATGTATGATAAATGTCATTATCTAAAGGGATAAATCTAGAATGGAGGAGAAGACAATATTCCTATGTTTTTTTCTAAAGTGCCATGAAAATTATTTTGTTATTTTTATTGTTTTTAGTTTAGTTGTTGTAAACTGCCCAGAGTGGCCTTGGCTGCCAGATGGGTGGTATATAAATCAAATAAATCAAATAAATAAATTGAGTGATTCTGTAAGAATCTATTAGCATTTTCAATTAAGTGGTCTAAAAATTAATATGGCCTGCTAGTTCAGTTATTAAACTATATTCCAAGTCTCTTCCAGCCAAAACCTTATAAAGAGAGTTTTGATTTCATTCAGGCTAGACTAAGACCACTGAGGATATACAAATGCTGCCAAGTCTATAAGAACCAAGAGGAAAACAAGCATTAATACACTGGACTGTATCTTGCTCTTCATAATGTCTGCTTTCTCTATATTAGGGATTAATCCCCCCTTTGCTTAAAAACAACAACAAACCATTTAAAAGCCCAGTACCTTTGTTATCATACTGGTCTCATCTCCAGCCAGGACTTCCATGTGGAAGTTTCGATAAGCATTGTCAATGCCAGTGATTTTATTTACAGCACAGGTGATGCCATGATTCTTGTCGATGATAACTTGGCCTGAAATACAGAGAAACAAGCAGTGAAATTTGGCAATAAATGCCCTTTAAATATCTCTCAGATTGATACATAAATAATGGCCACAGTTCTACTACACACACCTACCAGTCTAAGTTCACGTCTACAAATCTCAGTCTTTAATTGACACTAGTCATGAAGCCGTGGGTTGCATTTTCTGTTGGATAAGCACTTGTGTGACTTAGCGCATGACAGAAACTACAGACATTAACTAGCAACAATTTGCCACTGAAATTTATGTCAATTGTATCTTTGAACTGCATCCCAGTAATGTAGCTTTGAACTGCATTCCAGCCAATGTGTGTGTGTGGGGGGGAAATCTATGTCTATGAAATTAGTGCCTTCATTTTATTAACCACAGTAATGCTTGTGGCAGATCTCTTGTCAGACTCCAAGAAGTGCCCCACACCTGTCGAGAGCTATGACACAATTGTCATTCTCCTTTAGCCCTAAGGAATTATCAACAGCTCTTTCAACCTGGAAGAGGCTTCTTCCCATATAGAGGATCTATGGTGCCATAAATTTTGAAGTTATTCTTCCATGTCCTCTTCTAATGACACAAGAGGAAAGAAGTAGTGTGGGGGAGCCATGCAGCTAAGCCAGAAAAGAAGACAAGTGGCCTCACCACAATATTTTTTGTAAAAGAGAATCTTGTGGCCTCTTAAACATTAATATATTATTTGCAACACCAGATTTTGAAAAAACAGCATGCCACAATGAATTAGTAAGTTTACCTAGGACTATTTTGCTGAATTTTAAACATTTGAAGTGGCTTTCTATCCATTTTCACTGTGTGCAGAAAGACCCATTTTCAAGACTTGCCATCTCAATTAAAAAGAATCAGGTGGCCACTGACGATTCTTACGTTAGGTAGTGTTTAGAAATCTCTGCGACTCTCAAAACTGACATAACTAAAGTAAAAACTAAACTGTTGTTCAGAAAACTGCCAAAAATTCTACAAAACTTCTGCCATAGATACTATAACACTGTAACGCGTTCTACGTGCCGCTGCCTTTGAGGCTGATGCCAATTAAAAAGAATCAGGTGGCCACTGACGATTCTTACGTTAGGTAGTGTTTAGAAATCTCTGCGACTCTCAAAACTGACATAACTAAAGTAAAAACTAAACTGTTGTTCAGAAAACTGCCAAAAATTCTACAAAACTTCTGCCATAGATACTATAACACTGTAACGCGTTCTACGTGCCGCTGCCTTTGAGGCTGATGCGGAAACGTCAGGTGGTGCAGAATGCAGCGGCCAGACTCCTTACTGGAGTGATAAAAATACCAACACATTTCTCCAACTCTGGCCGCACTGCATTGGCTGCCCATTCGTTTCCGAGTCGACTTCAAAGTTTTAATGCTTACTTATAAGGCTCTAAACGGTTTAGGACCTCGATATTTGGCAGAACGCCTTCTCCCTCCAAGGTCTACCCGGATCACCCGTGCGAGTCAGGAGGTGAGGCTGAGGAACCTGATGCCAAGAGAGGCCCGGAAGGAGAAAACATAAAACCGGGCCTTCTGGGCGGTGGCTCCTCCCCTATGGAACAACCTCCCTCCGGAGATTCGCACAGCACCTACGCTGGGAATCTTTAAAACCCAATTAAAAACATGGTTATACATCCAGGCCTTCCCTCCAGTCAATACCTGATCTCTTTTCTTATTTTCCCTTTTATTATCCCTCTATTTTATTACAATTGTTATACGATTATGCACTTTTCTGCATTTTATTGTTTTATCCTATATTGTAAGCCACCAAGAGTGGACGAGTCGCCCAGATAGGTGGGGTATAAATCAAATAAATAAATAAATAAATAAATAAATAAACAAATAAATAAATAAATAAATAAATAGGTAGCATACCAATTAAATGTTTGTAAGGCAGCTGATGGTCTCTGAGATTCAGGTGAGCGATATGGCCAACTCTGCTAAAGCCAGTAGTCACTTCCTGACCTTCCGGAAGCACGGCTTGCAGAACTTCATCTGCTTTAAAATGGTCATAAGTCAATTCCAATTTGTACTTGATTATTTCAGGGTTAACCGCAAAATTCTTTAAGGTCTGTTGCACAGATTCTCCCAGGGAACAGTCAGCAGGTATTTTAGTAGCATCTAACAAAACGAACACGCTACTGTCATCTTCAGGGTCTTCAACTACTCTCTTGAGACCTGGTCGCTTCAGCAGCACCTCTTTGAGAGACTTCAAGAGTTTACTTACAATGCCTTTGTCAACTTTTAGGGCTGGTATGACAACAATTCTTTTGAAAGCATCTCTGTTGAGCACACTCATTCCACGTACTCCGGGATGAGGGACATTCAGATCATGATCAAATTTCTCGTTAAGCATCTCCGGCATAGAAAAGAAATGTTTTCTCTCAGCAATGGAAAGATGTCCCAGCTGTCGATTTAAGACCAGATAAGATGGGTTCCAAAGCTGCCAGACCGCTGGCAATGAGGTATTTGATGCTGTTGTTCCAAAATGTTCTATTTTCAGGAGTCTAGCGAATAAGCTGTTTAATCGCCTGAAAATCCTACAAAGGAAATTATTCATTTTATAGACATGATGTAATCATTCAGACTGAAATGCGAAACACTTGCGTATCTGGTTCCCCTTTTCCCCATAAAATCAGTTCAACTTCTATGAAATCGTATCTTTGGGTTGTGCAGGACTGACACGATGTGACAGCTCTCTGGGTCTCTGACATTACCAAGGTACCAGAAGATGATGACATGATTGTATTTGAATAAATGTAGACTGCTGTACATGAAAAAAATAAAACATCCCCTGAAAATAAGCCCTAATGCATTTTTGGAGCAAAAATTAATATAAGACCCTGTCTTATTTTCGGGGAAACATGGTAGAGGGCGAGATTTCTCTTAACTGGGGCTTCTTTTGGGGGTAGGGCTTACATTACGAGCATCCTGACAAATCATACTAGGGCTTATTTTCGGGGAAACAGGGTATGTCTGACTAGGGCTTATTTTCGGAGAAACAGGGTATGTCTATCCTCCTCCAAGTTAACCCTGTGAGATCTACTGAGGTAGCTAATTCTTTGTTTCCTTCTCCATGCCAGTCCAGCAGGTACAGTGGAACCTCGACTTATGAACTTAATCTGTATCGGAACGGTGTTCGTACGTCGAATGTTCGTAAGTCGAAGCAAAATTCCCCACAGGAATGCACTGAAAGTCATTTAATCCGTTCTGGCTGTTTTTCGTTCTTATCTAGAGGCGCTGTTTGCAGGTAGAGGCATTAGTTCCCATAGGAACTAATGCAAAGCCGGTTAATCTATATCTACCACGAGGGGCTAAATTTTTTCTTCTTCTTTTGACCTAAGGTGAACTTAGGTCAAAAAAAGGACAGGAAAGGAGGGAGGTGGGGAGGGAACACCTTTTAAACAGAACACCTTTTTTTCCATTTGCAAATTGAAGCAAAATTTTGTGAACGGAGCGGATACATCCATATCGTGTTTGTAAGTAGGGACATTCGTAAGTCGAGGTTCCGCTATATTTGAGGAGGGCTTTCCTGTGTTTCCTCCCATCCCCTGCTAGTCTTCTTCACGGTCAACCTGCCCAGTTCCTTTGAACTTTCCTCTGAGGACTGCAAGCTCTGTCTTACCACTAGAAATTCAATGGAGACTGCATTTTCAGTGACTGAACTGAGATTACTGTACTTTGGGCACATCATGAAAAGACAATACTCACTGAATGCTAGGCAAAGTTGGAGAGTAGCAGGAAAAGGGGAACACCAAATATGAGATGGGTTAACTCTAGAAAGGAACCACGGCTCTGAATTTTAGGGGCAGAACAGGAACATTAACAACACAACATTTTAGAGGTCACTCGTTCATACCTAAGGCAGAAGCAACTTGATAGCACAAAACAGCACAACAATGGTGCGATGAACTACGGGATGATACATCTATATCACTTTTGTTTCATTTAATATCTGCCCAGGTCCTGCCTTATTTCATGAATTACAGTACTTGCCTAGCCCTTTTTTATTCTTAGAGGTGGGGAATATGTGATTTTCGTTGCAATATGTTTACAGTATGTTTAATAAGAGAGAGGGAGAGAACATCCCAAAAATCAAAGAAAAACAAACCATGGAGCTTTCCTAACAGGAAAAACAGCTCAAAAATAAAAACCCACAATTTGTTAGAGGGGTAATTTTTCTGGACAGCCATTTTCTTGGAGATGTTCTAAGTCTAAATTTCCTATATCATTAGTTTCCAAATTGCGAGGGGGGGAAGGCAGGGGCTATAAGGATGTGAAGAACTTCTAGGGGCGGGGGTGAGTGGGACACAATTGAAATGTTAAATGATAAATTCAATGTCTGTGGGAAAAGGGGCTGGATGCAAGTAAAGGAGAAGTGGGGGAAGGCGCCACCCTTTCAGAAAATAATAATAATAAAAGAGGATGCCATGCAAAGAAATTTGGGAACAGATGTCCTGAACGGAGCAGGGAGTTAAACCAGAGCAATGGCTTGATCCACTTTTGGTTTTCCAAATATTTTTTGGCTTCCACTCGTCCGCCTTCACAAAGGATGATGGGGCTTAGCCACAACCAGAGGGTGCCCGGTTTTACGTATATTATAGATCGCCTTCCACCTTCTTCAGGGGACTCCAGGCGGCTGACAACCACCACAAACAGCCGAAGAATAGCAAGCAAGGAAGGCCTCACTTATCAGGACTCCGAGAAATACTCCTCCGATGCCGTGGCTTCCACCCAACGCCCCCTCCAAGGCCCCGATGTCCCCATGACAAGCGCAGGCACGCTTGGGGCCGAAGGCGTGCCCTAGAGCATGTGCAGAGGGCCTTTCCCTTCCCCGTGAGGGATGGGGTGGGGGGGAAAGAGATGGGGAAGGGATGGCAGGATACAGCGTTCAGGATTCAGCCCCGGCCCCTTTTTCCCTCACACAGCCTAGGAGGGGAGTCGCCTCACCTCATGCCGCCTCAAGCCAACCCTCGCTTCGCTCCCTCACCCGAAAAAAAAAAAAAAGCCCAGGCCGGTCCCGCGCGGCCCCGCCGCCATC